GGTTTACAGTTTGTGGGCCGGCAAACTGTAAACTGGATGGCTAAACTCCCTCGGCGTGTTATCTCTCTATTTAGCCAATTTCTACTATTTCCAGCCGCGCCCTCAAGCCTAGTAGAGGCTAGGAGGTTACCTCCTAGGTACATCTGAGGTGCGTTTCTCCCATCCCCGTGGCCTTGGCCACCCAGACCGGGCGACCTTCCCACCTGCACGCGGTGAGTAATACTCCGCCACTAATTGTACACAAACAGACCAATTACAGAGTGTTGATCATTCCTCCCCCTGAATGGATCCCGTCGCCCGTCCAGGTGGGCACTTCTTCCGCCGCGGGAAACTCGCACAACAAACCCAGCCACTCTCCTTCGGCCGTGTTCATGTGAAGTCAGTGAAGGCGCTTTACATTTGGTTTACCCCGAAGCCGGTTTCAAGTGGCTCCATCTGAACGCTCCAAAATTACATTGAAAGCGCCTCGATCCCAAACCACTTCTAGAGGTGGTTTCGAATCGGTTTTCCCGCATCGCGATTTGCGTCTGGTCGTTGACCTCTGACATTAATAACACGCTACTTTGCGTGTTTTCATCAAACAACAATAAATGTAGCTCAGGCGAATTGTGATCGGACACGGTTTCAAAGGAATGTGTGGCACGTGGACCAGATGTGAGGAATGCGAGTTACCCGAATCGCGGTTTGGGTGACTTCACTTGAACAAGTGTGTGTATGTGGTTTAGCACGATAACTCAAGAAGCTTTCGATGGATTGTCGTGAAACTTTAATAGTAGGTTGATAGGTATTGATAACTCCTAAGAATGATTAGATTTTAGGCGCCCGGGGGACTTTGCAACTTTTTCGCCCTTTTTTCCTCAATAAAATCATTTTTTTTACATCTATTTTGAACAAAATGACCAAATTTCAGTTTCGTATGTACCGAGTGTTCTACCAGCTTACCAAATATTTCAGGTGTTCCCAGCCTGTAGTTATGAAGATATTACTGTTTTTTTTAGGTGTTTGCAGAAGAAGAAGAAGAGGAAACATCACAGTAGGGCTATGCAGACGACACAGGCATCCGTAAGGCTGTAACGACAGTTGAATACAGTATGTGCGGTAGGGCTGTGCTACTCTCCAAGCAGAGGTTTGGGTTTGGGGGTATTTTTAGCGTGTTTTTAGGCTTTTTTATCGGGGTTTCTCTTTTGCACTGAATTTTTATTCCCACCAAACGTTGGGTTTGGTGGGAAAAAACATTCAGTGCAAAAGCTACAGAAACCCCGATAAAAAAAGCCTAAAAACACGCTAAAAATACCCCCAAAAACCCAAACCTCTGCTTGGAGAGTAGGGCTGTGCGTGCATTGCCAATGTTCCCGGCCAGGCCGTGACGGACATGGGAAGCTAACACTCCCGAGCACCAGGTGACGAGATCGGCTGTCAGCGGATCCGCTATAACCTGCGGGGCTGGGCCCACCTGGGCGTCATGCTTACAGGGAATGTCCCGCGGAGATGCAAATATTTCAGTGAGTGTGTGAGTGAGTGAGTGAGTGAGTGAGTGAGTGAGTGAGTGAGTGAGTGAGTGAGTGAGTGAGTGAGTAAATGAGTGAGTGAGTGTGTCTCTCTGTGTGTGTGTGTGTGTGTGTGTGTGTGTGTGTGTGTGAGTGTGTGAGTGCGTGTGTGTGTATGTGTGTGTGAGTGCGTGTGTGTCACGGTGTGTGTGAGTGAGTGAGTGAGTAAATGAGTGAGTGTGGGCGAGCGAGCGTTTTTTCTGAATTAATACGTGCCCACTTGAACGTCAGTGAGTAAGAGTGAGTGAGTGAGTAAATGAGTGTCATTTTCCTGCATTGATACGTGGCCACAATTGATACTTCAAGTTCGAGATTTCGAGTCAATCAGCCTTAGAACTGTTTAACTTCCCTAATGTACAATCCTGCCTCCGTGTTGTTAGATGATTTGTAGAACAAACTTCGGTGTCCAGTCATTGGGCGACATCTAGCGGTTATTACATGTCACACCACCCAGTTAAGATCCAAGGGCAATCAAAACTACTGTTGTAATCTGATGGTTAACTGTAGCCTCTACCAGGCTTGAGGAGGCGGCTGGAAAGAGTAGAAATCGGCCAAAATAGAGAGATAAGCATGCCAAGGGAGTTTGTCCGTTGAGAGAACAGTTGTGGGGCGGCGAACTGT